TGTTAGCTGGGTACTGTGATGCATGCCTATAATCCCAGCAACTCAGGAGGCTGAGGTGGGAGGATCACTTGAGCCCAGAAGTTCAAGACCAGTCTGGACAACACAAAATCCCTTTAAAAAAAAAAAAAAAACCCACAGGAATTTTTATTTCAATTTTTATCTGTGACATAAAGGAAATTGGTGTAAAAAATGTATTTTTGCAGTTCTCAACCCCTTTCTTCAAAATATTTTTTATATGAATAAATATTGTCCACTAGTGTGCCTATGTCAGCAAATCACTAAACGCTAATATGGTTACAACCAGAAATCTCTGGTTGACGAGGATAGACTAAGTGTATTTTTAATCTTTTCCTGATCTAAAAAAAAAATCCAAAGAAGTATAAAAAATAAAGAAGAAAGCTCCTTCCCCAATGACATAAGGAAATATCCACCATCCCCAAACCACAAATTACAAAGACCTTAGTGCCTGGACTTGGTGCTTAGTGCCTGGACTTCTGGACCAAAAGGAAAAGTACAGAGAAAATGTGCACTTCCTCCAAAACTACCACTTCCCACAGCCCTGTCCCCACATATGGGCACAGGGAAGGAAAGAAACTTTTAGCCCTAAATGGTTTTAAAGTTAGTCCTACCTTGTAATGTGAACAGTATAGAAAAACTGTTCAGTCCTTCCAATTCTTGGCCCCCTTCCTGTCCCCAGCCACCCTCTCATGTGGCACATGAGAATATAGGAGTGGGAGGGGAGGTTCAGGTCCATTCAGGCTCTAGTGCTGTCCTCTGGTTGATGCATGTGTTACTGCTCTCAGATGCTCAAGGATGGCCTAACTTGGCATTTGGTTCCTCAGCTTGATAGGACCTGGTGGCCTCATACTGGCTCTCACTAGAAGTACAGACTCCCTCAAAGTTTGCCACTCCTTCTATGGGATCCCCTGGCTTAGGACCCACCTTCGGATCTGCTCTGGGGTTACCTTGTCCCCCTATGACAGATGTCAGGGCACTGCCATTATCTCACATTTGAGTTACCTGCCAAGCATTCCCTGAGAGCTAGGAATGATGGTCCTTGTGTACCGTAAAGGAACTGCATCCCAGCCAGAGGTCACCTCGATTTAGGGGCCTACATGGCTACAGGGACCCTCTGCCCCTGGGCTCCTCCCAACTTGACTGTAGGACAAAAACAAAGTATGGAAGCATATATCTCCTCTCCTCAATATCACCTCTCTGTACCTTCTCCCTCTATTTCCTGAGAGGCCAAGAGGAGAGGTTTTTCTTTCTGAATACTATGAAGATACTTGGGTGATAAAATACTAGAAATCACAAAAAGGCAACGATGCCAGCTACTATCACTGTTGTTTGGCATTTATCTGAAAGTAGTAGCCATTAAATTAATCAAAGTAAGAAGTTTCATAAATATTGGAAAGAGGCAAAAATACCATTATTTGCAAAATATAGTAAAAATATGTTTAATAACTCTAACATTAAGAAATAAGACTGATAATAAAAATAGCAGAAAACAGGGCTGAGGATGTGGCTTAAGCGGTAGTGCGCTCGCCTGGCATGCGTGCAGCCCGGGTTCGATCCTCAGCACCACATACCAACAAAGATGTTGTGTCCGCCGAGAACTAAAAAATAAATATTAAAAATTCTCTCTCTCTCTCTCTCCTCTCTCTCACTTTAAAAAAAAATAGCAGAAAACATTTCCTTTTTTATAAACAAAGAGAAAACATAATGGAAGAAAAAACATGTATGACACTTATTTATTTTATTTTTTAGTTATATAGATGGACACAATATCTTTATTTTTATTGGGTTTTTTTGGTGCTCAGGATCAAACCCAGAGCCTCACACGTGCTAGCAACTGCTCTACCACTGAGCTATAGCTCCAACCAAGGATAGCTATTTGAAAAAGAGATTAAATAACTAGAAATAAACTTAATTAAGAACTGTGCAGGATTTCTAGAAAAACAATTTCAGAATCTCACTTAGCTTCACAGAAGAAGATAAATGACAACATTTCAAAAATATCAATTATTTCTACGTCAATCAAAACACTATATATGTTCTCAATTTAAATGATAATTCATTTTTATAATTTCACAAAGGATGCTATAATTCAGTAAAAAAAAGGTAAGAATGACTCAAAAAAATTCTAAAGTAATAAAATTAAGGTTGCATTAATAAAAACAATATGGTAAATTGTACAGAAATAATGAGGCCAATTATGGAGGCCATTGCGTTCTGTAGGTCGAAACCAAACATTAGCTGAAGAACCCAGATCAAGTTAACTTCTATGAAATTGCTTACTTCTCAATAGATGAATGGCTTAAGAAATTGAGGTATAGGGGGCTGGGGATGTGGCTCAAGCGGTAGCGTGCTTGCCTGGCATGCGTGCGGCCCGGGTTGGATCCTCAGCACCACATACCAACAAAGATGTTGTGTCCGCCGAGAACTAAGAAAATAAAATATTTAAAAAAAAAAGTTCTCTCTCTCT